ATGATGATGATGATGATGATGATGATGATGATGATGATGATGATGATGATGATAATGATGATGATAAAACTTTCAAAGCGTAGTTTATTCTGGTAAAACGTTCGTTTTGATTAAATAAGATTCCCTTCCTGGTAGTTTGCAACAATAAATACAGATTGGGACAATTGTTCAGCTTACCCATACGTTAACAGAAGTTAAACCATTTAGATATTTTTTTTTCGGGCTGATGAAAAATAATAACTTTTGACCTCAAATCTCTAACAGTCGACTCAATTGTCTTTGGGTACACACATTGTGTTGTTTCTCTTGTCGGGAAAGTTTTCATATTTTGGTCATGCACTCTGTGAACATGCAATTAATCACATTGCATTTACATTTACATTTCAACGGGCTTTCCACTACGCAGGCGGGAGACAATCAAGAAATGCTTCGCACCGAACGCTGTGTGCTTTATTCATGCATAATTTAACAAAAGCTGAACTAAAGGACACATATTATGCTAACGTTGACCAGGAAGTTATTTTTTTTTCTTTTGATACGTTGCTTTTACCTTGACGAGTGAAATATTAATGTCGGTTTAATCGCTTTGCTAAGTACAGACAAAAGGAAGATAATTTGTTTCCTGTTTTTTCTCATCTACATAATGAGTAGAAAACCAATAGTCAGCTAGAAACAAGCCGAGAATAAATAATGTTTCATCTTTGGTAAAGCAGTAATATATTGCTATAGGCAGAATGTTTATAAGCCAAGGACACATTTGTGGGGGTGGGAATTTTAAAGGCATATTTAGTCACTGTAAACAGAGTTTAGAGTGTTGCAATGAATTTGAGTTTTGAAAAAGAAATCAAGGTATGTTGAACTATTACATATCCTTTGAAACAATGAAGTTAAAGGCCTTACGGGTCCTTTACGCGAAGGAAATAAAACCCTGGCAAGAAATACGGTGGGAGATGTATCGAAAGCATTATTAATTAGCATCATAGAGAGAGGTAGGGAGGTTTAAGTAAAAATAATTTCAACAAAGAGGCGGTAGCCATGGGGTGGAAGACACTCCCTCGGGCACTGCCATCTTAATAATATGTGTCCCGACGTGGGGGAATCGGGCGCTCGTCAGTTTTGGGGCAATTTTGAGATATTGATATCATCTTAGAGATTGCTCATTCGTCTTGATTTTAATGAAAAAATACACATCTATCTTGAATACAAAATCGTGATATTTAATGGAAATTGAAGGAGGTGTGCGGTGGCCTGGTATCACAGGGAAAGGAAAAATGACCACCAGAGTGTGGTGACTTCCAAAGCTTGAGAGCTCTTTGAAACTGCAAATTAACATTTTTTCTGCCTTCGATTAACGGATTTAAGTAAAATTCACACAGAAACACAGTCAGTTATTTTAAATGGACGTGAAAGGTGTAGAGTAAAAATTATAAAATAGATAAGAATTGCCCAAGGGGCAGAAAAATGGTAGTCTCTTCGAGTTTCTTATTTTGACGAGCATCTGATTTATACCACGATGACACGCCATTGTGCTTTGGGTTAGGTTCGAGGAGAGCACATGCGTTCCCCGGTCAGTCCGCACTCACCGACAGGACGGCATGCCGAGGCATTTACAGTACAGGTACATTATAATGTGAGAGAAATTAGGTTGACGGGCAATGTACCCTATGTGGTATTGTGAAAAAGCTGGACTCAAGGGGTGGGTTTATAATTTATCTCTGTCACTAGCAGCTACTAAATGGGTCAAAGTCAACCTGCCGTGTCTCATTCACAACAAAGTTCCCTCGCGGTCAAAGAGGACGTTCAAAATACAATAAGTGCGTAGCTGTTAACTTGATAAGCATGGGTACGAGTACACTGTTTTTTCATGGTCGGCAATAGTAGAAGCTAGAGTTAATTATTCTCGACAAGTGTAATCTCGCTTGTATGTGTCCGCTTTTGCGTGCACGCGCGCACGCGTGTGTGCGTGCGTGTGTGTGTGTGTGTGTGTGTGTGTGTGTGTGTATGAGAGA